TTTTTGTTGCTCTGATAGTTTTAGTTCACCATTATAACCTTGCAGGGGACACTGTGTGAAAAACGAGGCTCTGGTCTGACATTTGTTGAAACTACCTCAGTGAATCTGCTGTGAAACATTATGGGGGAGATGCTGCTACTCATCAGGAATAGAGAAGTTGGTCAGAGCAGTGGGGAAGGTAGATGGGCATAAATTCATGGCAAACCTGGAATAAAACCTGTGAAACAGTGCAAAGACTTTGGGACTTAAGGCGGACATTTGCATTACAGAACAAGAATGACCATAAACATTCAGCTAGACATGCTATAGCATGGAATAGATCAGGGTTTTAAACCCCGGTTCCACTATCCTTCATGTTTTAAGTGTTTTGCTATTTCAGAGAACCAGGTCTGAATGATTGAAATAATATTGTAGTATTTGGTAGCTACTGCTGTTTAATTCAGGTCCTCCAAATCTAAATAATGCAGGACAGTGGACCCTGAGGACCAGGGTTGAGTAATTCTGGTTTAGATCAAAGTCTGTTTATACAGAAGGGCCCAGTAAAGGTCCAGACCTAAGCCTGACTGAGAATCTGGCAAGACATAAATATTCCCATCTGTTGGTGCAATCCAATAAATCTTACTGTAGAGATATATAAAGGTTAGGGGTGTGCAAAATAATCATCATGATGATGCATCGTGATTCTAATTTTCATGATCTACTGCATCGATTCTTGACGCCAAGTATCGATTATTAATTTAAAAAAATTAGTAAATAAAATTGCATGAATGCTTGGCGAACATCAGCCAATAACAAGTGTAATATAACTTCCAGTCCAGTAGATGTCGCTGCGGATGTGTTGATGCACACTGCCTTGTGTCACAAGCATTTCTACTGCGCCGAGTCATTCAAAAACAAAACATGGAGGAGAAAATATTGCAATGCATCGCAATAATTCAAGTATCGTGATGCATCGCGATAGAATCGCATCGTGGCCTGTGAATCGTGATTCGAATCGAATCGTGACTCCTTTGGCAATACCCACCCCTAATAAAGGTAAGAGACATAAACCCTCAAAAGATCTACAACTGTCATTGCAATAAATTGGTTCTCCCAGGTGTTACCTTGGTGGGGTTCAACACATCATTTTATCTAGATTTCTATTTATTAAAACACAAAACAGCAACAACAAAAACAAAAAAAAGAAGCAAACATGCACCTTATTAGTATTTTTTGGTAAGGCGTATGAATAGCTTGTGAAGGTACTGTATCGGTATTTGAAGCTGTTACTGTGACAAAGGCTAACTTTGAAGTTTAGTAGGAAACTGTTTTTGAATTAAAAGAAAGACGGTAAAGGTTATATTTCTTATGCACTCCTTACCAAATCTACTTTAGAGTATTCCTCCACAATGCGCTGATGTTCCTCAGGATCATACCCATTCCAGCGATCCCGCTTTCCATCGTAGTCCAACGCCAGTTGGACCTGAGAGTGTTCATCTGGAGCTATGCCTGTTCCGGTGAATTTGGCTCCAACTTTCCTGGGTCGCTGAGAAAACAAATTAAATTAGGATCTGAAATAAACAAGAAACTGTGATTTTTCTTTCCACCTTTGAGGGAAACAAACATATATTTTTTTTTACCTCCATGCAGTCTTTTTTCTTATGGGTCATAGCACCACAGTTTTCACAAGCACCTTTGCGGTACTTTGTGGTAATATCATTCTGTAAAATCAAAACACACAAATTAAGTAAATTAGTTTGGATCAACTGAACAATCTGATCTGATTGCACCTGATTCATACTTGCCTCCTGCACTCCTCTTTTGTACCACTCTCCAATGGATGAGAACTGCTGCTGCTTTTCATCCTGTGGTCTCTGATGCTTTAGAGTGGGTCTCTTGGATGGGTCGATGTACCACGGCACTGATGAGATGTACTGAGGGATGTGAGGGTTTATGTCCCTGTTGGAGAGAAAAAGCACCCACAGTTAATAACATTACATTCCAATTTCATTTTAAGGAGAAAGTAGTTGAGTTATTTTCATTAGAAAGCTCTTCACTCTATATTAAGTTAAAAAAAAATAAAACAAAATTAAATTCTGTGTCCTCCAAACACCATTAAAGGTTCCATCAAACTGTTTTAATGAAGTCAATCGACACAGGCAGCTCAACAGATGAAAGTACGATGACTGGTGCTGTAGGAGCCATAAATTATTATATGTAGATCTTGTGCTCTTCTGATACTTTTCTCCCTCTGTGTGGGTGTATGTGCACAAGCATTTGACGTTGGTGGACACAGTCACCAGCATCTATGGGTGGCACCCTGGCTGTGGTGTCATTGTATTAGTTTGTGTGCTCATCTGGGTTCAACATTGACCTGGATTACTGCGGCTGGGTGAGCTTGGGGAGAAACTTTCTATTGATTGTCTTATATAACATCATGTATCTGATGTATCCACGTACGACTCATCAATGTAAGTACAACTTTGCATTAAGGACGAGAGATGGGAACATAAAAGGACATCGTGATTTGTAATGGTTCAGTGTGACGCGTCATCAGTAGCTCATACCCCTCGTCTTAGCCGGCTGCGTTTGAATTAAAATCTTAGTTTATACGCCGCAACAGATGTGTTGCTAAGAAGGGAATTTAGCACACCAAAAACAAGAACTCTGTGTTAATTAGTCTTGATGGTGGACATGTTTTTGTATACACACACAGAGCTTTGATTCCTGGTTAACAACTTATATCCTTTTAATGGAGAGACATTCTTACAATCAAAAAATAAATCCAATCAAGACGCAAGTTGGGTTGACCCAGCTTTGATGAAGTTTTACCTGTTAAGCTAAAAACCTCAGATTTGAATCAAGAGCTTTAGTTTTCTGAGGAGCCACGGTTATTACCCCTCCACCACCGTGCTTGAACACTGACGTTTAGACTTGATTCGAATCAGTTTTAACGAGGGGGAAACCATCAGTGGCAATCACTTTACCCTCTAGTAGTCACAAAGTTATGCATGATCAAGGTACACACAGGAACACTTACTTTCCCTCCTCGTCCACCTCGGCTGGAGCATTTCCGAGTTTCCTTTGCTCCTCCAATTCTTTCTTCTTCCTCCAGTCCTCTCTGGTCATCTTCTTGGGCTCATCCAGACCCACGATCCCCTCCGAGTTGACACTGGGCTGTTCGGTCATGATTGGGTCTCCTACTGTTCAACAACCTATATACAGAGCGATAAGAAATATTTATCTACAAAAAACTCCGTTTAATCCACGGTTTTCTTTTTCAGTTGAGCACAACAATTAGCAATTTAACGTGTTTACGACCCAATATAAAATAAATGCTTATCAGACTTCTTATCGAGATCACAAACTGGTTACTTACGTTAATAAGACTAAATAAATTGTGTAGCAAGTAAAATTTCGCCTCTTTTTTTAAGCTCGTTTTTGGTATTTTTATTGAAACGCCACAGCGCCCATGTTGTTGCTCTTCTTCTTCGTGTGTCACCTGCCTCAGCAGCGCCACCATCTGGTTGAAACACTTCTTCTCGTCTTTTCTATTATGGCGGAACGCAAGCAAGTTTAAGGTGCATACCGCCACCTACTGTACACGAGTGTCAGCAACATTACTTTACATTGATCAAATTCTATTTTTTTTTATTTTGCATACTGAATATGAATAAATAATAATTTCCTTTATCTGTAAATATCCTTTATATTTCCTTCATTTCCCAACATAAGACTCAATGTTTAGCCTGTCCTTCCAACCATTCTTGTCAATTTCTCCCTTTTATGTTCTTAAGTTTTACAGCTATTGAGTACTTCTTCTACATTTTCTTTTTCTCTACACCCTTCCCATTTATCACTATTTTTCCTCCCTATTAAATATAAATTGTCATTTAAATAGGTATGGTCCACTCTTGCTCTGATCATTATTACTTCTGCCCTTCTGTTTCTCCCATTAATATTTTTACTTCATAATGACTTTTGTACTTTATATAATCTTCTTCCTTTCTTATCTTTATTCCACCTTTTTTTGTTGCTATTTTTCCATTTCTTTACTCCTGGTGGGAATTGGCCAATTAAGAGGGCAGTTATTTCTAGAAACTGAAAAAAACATCTTCTTGATGTGAACGTTTTATAGCTTCTTTTTTTTCCTTTGTTATTATAAAGAAATATCACATTCTAGTAATGCAACCATTGCTCTGTTTGCTTAGTGATTTGACATTGAGTTTTAAAAATGTTTCAACAGGGTGCAGTGGTGTAAAAATCTGTATTTTATTGACATTTCATTCTTCCAATTTATCTCGTCTTCAGTTGTATTTTTTTTTTATTAATCTGTTTACTTATTCAAATATTTTTTTGAACAATTTTTTCTTTTGCCAACATTTCCCTTTAAATTTGTATCTTGTTTATTAATCAAATCGAACCTTTGTCCTCTTTGGGGTTCTTTTCTCCTTAATTTGGCATTGAAATGAGGATGCATTGATGTTTTAATTATATATTAATTATTCGTCTATCGAATTTTAATTTGAATGAATAAAGGACCCATTCAGGGAATTAAATACAAACCCCAGATAAAAGATAAATCTGAGATTTTTAAACTTAATTTGAACGTATAAGAACATACCAATACATTTAACACAAAATTGGTTTTTAAATTATGCAAAAAACAAGCAGTGACTCTCCTAAACATTGGAGAATCATCACCTATTAATTACATTTTACTCTGACATCTATTTCAGTTGACTTTTTTTGAATCCATTTTCTCTCCTGCTACATAATAAATCTAAGAACAATCCAAATACTTCATTATGGAACTACATAGTGATCTAAAGAGCTTAAGATTTTAGCATAAATGTGTAGTGTGTACATATCATTACCCCGTAATACATGTAACATAAGCAACACACCTCATAGTACACGTCTATTAACACTGTTATCCACAGCTTTTAGTCATACACCATTTCCTGCAAATCAGATTTACTAAATGTTATCCTGGAGGAAAAAAAAAAAACAGTCCTTTGTAAAAGGGAAAATATTTTATTTTCTTTTACACTTTTTTCCTAAAGCAACAAATAAAATATATTGAGCTGGTGGATGCTGCCTACAATCTATCTCTATAGCAGATATTAACAGTCATTAATAACTGGTGAAGTTAATTTGGTTTAAAACTTTTATGATTATACAGTAGCACTTTTTTCCTTTTTTTAAAGTTTCATGCCAAGCCGTCTGGTTTTGACTGGCTGTAGTTTGAAACTTCAATAAGATTGTGGTCTGGATCCCTGAAGTAAAGTGAGGTGATGGATCCCACGGCTCCACTCCTCTGTACGGGACCCTCTTCAATGTCAACGCCACAAACCTGCAAAAAAGATAAAAGGAAACAGTTTATGGCAACTAAGGTTACATAAAGAGTTCAGAGGGGAAGCTATCCATCTCTGTGTGTTGAGAGTACCTTCAGATGGTCAGCCACTACAGTCAAAGGGGTTTTAGTGATGAGACAGAGGTCTGCAGAGCCTGAGGTTGGATGTTTCGCCTTTGGTTCAAACTCTTGTCCCAACTGGTGAAGGTTAAACTTTTGCTTCCCAAAACCAAGAGCCTTACGGTCACCCTAGGAAAAATTAAATAAAATAGCTGATGGAAAATAAATGAAATGTATTAAAGCAAAGTGGGAAAAAAGCTATTGCTATTAATTCAGCACAGATTTCATGCTCTGAATAAGCCAATAGCATTTCTCTTCCTTGTGAATTGATTCTTTAAATCCTGAAGGACAATAGATGCTTTAGAAACTCATCATCTAAGTTTCCTGAAACATTTTGGATTCTTGTGGTTGTGGTCAGGAGGGATGTTATGCAGTTGTGTCTGTTGCAACTTTAGGAACCACCTAACAGAGCACCATCCTGTTGATTACATGGAGTGATAACATTTTAACATTTTTCCTGGTTGTAACAAAAAAAAAAACATTCTTGCATTTGCATTATTTGCATTATTATATATTCCACACACAAGTTGATTCAAACAGTTGAAGTTTCCAATATTTTTTTAATGAACTACAGAATATGCATTCATTTGTGTTGTACCAATCAACAATAACAATAAAGGATCTGAATCTACAGTAAATTAGCATCTATTAGTAGTAGTTCTGAAGGTCTTACCAGATCTTTTATTGAAATTCTATTCAATTCTAACCGTTAAAAATAGAAAGCTTGCTCCTTGGTTTAATGCAGAGCTGCGTACTTTGAAGCAAAATGCTAGGAAACTGGAGAGAAAATATCGCTCCACAGGCCTGCGAGAGTCCTTCCTAGTCTGGAAAAATGGTTTACAGTTGTATAAGAGGACCCTTTGTAAAGCAAGAGCAGCATACTTCTCCTCATTAATAGAGGAGAATAAGAATAATCCTAGATTTCTTTTTAATACAGTTGCCAAACTCACCCAGAGCCATAGCTCTGTTGAACCGTCCATTCCACCTGCTCTTAGCAGCAATGATTTTATGGGATTCTTTATAAATAAGATTGATCTTATTAAAAATAAGATCATAAGCACTCCTCTATCCGCGATTGTACCTGAGGTAGTCATGGAATCTGAACCGGGTTTAGACTGCTTTGATCCAGTTGAACTCTCTGAATTAGCAAAATTATTGTCTTCATCTAAGCCTTCAACTTGTATGTTAGATCCAGTTCCAACCAGGTTATTTAAGGAGGTATTCCCTTTGATCTCCTCCTCCATTTTAGATGTGATTAATCTATCTCTGTTACAGGGATATGTACCTAAAGCTTTTAAGATTGCTGTAATTAAACCTCTGCTTAAGAAACCGTCTCTTGACCCAGATGACTTGGTCAATTATAGACCTATATCCAATCTTCCTTTCTTATCCAAAATTCTTGAGAAAGTAGTTGCCAAACAAGTTTGCGATCACTTCCACCATAATGAACTTTTTGAAGAGTTTCAGTCTGGCTTTAGAGCTCATCATAGCACTGAAACAGCTCTGGTGAAAGTCACTAATGATATTCTCATGGCCTCAGATAATGGACTTGTATCTGTGCTCGTCCTGTTGGATCTTAGTGCTGCATTTGATACAGTTGACCATAATATTCTTTTAGAAAGACTTGAATATTTTGTTGGAATTAAAGGAACAGCACTAGACTGGTTTAAATCTTATCTATCTGATCGAATTCAGTTTGTTCATGTTAATGATAGATCTTCAACACGCTCAAAGGTTACCTGTGGAGTACCACAGGGATCAGTGCTAGGACCAATTCTCTTTACTTTATACATGCTCCCAATTGGTAGAATTATTAGACAGCATGGGATTAATTTCCACTGTTATGCTGATGATACCCAGCTATATCTGTCTATAAATCCAGATGAAGCTAACCCATTACATAGATTACAGGCATGTCTTGAAGACATAAAAACCTGGATGACTCTTAATTTTCTGCTTCTGAATGCAGACAAAACAGAAGTTATAGTCTTTGGACCAGAGTCTCTGAAAAAGAAACTGATTAGCCAGTCACTTCATTTGGATGGGATTAAACTGATTTCAGATAATAAAGTAAAAAATCTTGGTGTTATTTTTGATCAGGACCTGTCATTTAAATCCCATATCAAAGAGGTTTCTAGAATTTCCTTCTTTCATCTGAGGAACATTGCAAAAATTAGAAATATCCTGTCCAGGGGTGATGCTGAGAAACTAGTCCATGCATTTGTTACTTCAAGGCTGGACTATTGTAATTCTTTACTATCAGGAAGTCCACAAACTGTAGTTAAAAGCCTTCAGCTGATCCAAAATGCTGCAGCCAGAGTTCTAATGAAAATTAAAAAGAGAGATCATATCTCGCCTATCCTGGCTTCTCTTCATTGGCTTCCTGTTAAATCAAGAATAGAATTTAAAATCCTCCTTCTCACATATAAAGCCTTAAATGGCCAAGCTCCATCTTATATCAGAGATCTGATTGTTCCTTATGTTCCTAACAGAGCACTTCGCTCTCAATCTGCAGGTTTACTAGTGGTTCCTAGAATTTCTAAAAGTAGAATGGGAGGCAGATCTTTTAGTTATCAGGCTCCTCTCCTGTGGAACCAACTACCAGTTTTAGTCCGTGAGGCAGACACCCTGTCTACTTTTAAGGCTAGGCTTAAAACTTTCATTTTTGATAAAGCTTATAGTTAGGGTGGCTCAGGTTATCCTGAGCTATCTCTATAGTTATGCTGCTATAGGCTTAGACTTTTGGAGGACATAGGGACCCCCATTTCATCATTCTGCTTCATTCTCTCTCTGTTCTCCTATTCTGCAGAATCTGTTAGTTCAATCTCTAACCTTCTGCTCTCTCTGCTTTTTCTCAGAGTAGCTTTGCCTCGTCTGTTCCTGTTTGGCTGTGACGTCATCCTGGAAAAAAACATCAGCTGTGCTGCTTCTATCAACACCCTTGTTAATAGATGTTGGAGATCGGCCTGTTTTCCAGTGTGGTCCTGTTTCTCTGACCGTGACTGAGTGGATGTGCTCTCTTCGTCCTCTGGCATGGGAGCTGCCTTGGAGCTCGTCTGCCTGGCTGTGTGTTTCCTGGACGGGGCCGCCTTTTACAGCTGCTTTTTGTATCTCTGCTTCTGTCTCCTTGAACCCCAGTCGGCCTCGGCAGATGGCCGCTCACACTGAGCCTGGTTCTGCTGGAGGTTTCTTCCTGTTAAAAGGGAGTTTTTCCTCTCCACTGTCGCTACAAGCATGCTTAGTGTGGGGGATTGTATTTGAGTCAATGAGTCAATGCAATCAACTGGTTTTCCTTAGATAGAAAACTTTGTATCAATTTGACTGTATGATCTGGTTGAACTGTAAAGTGCCTTGAGATGACATGTGTTGTGAATTTGGCGCTATATAAATAAACTGAATTGAATTGAAATAATGTCTAAAATATGCTCAGATTCAATTCAGTTGAATACTGTTTATTTATATTGCAACAATTCACAACACATGTCATCTCAAGGCACTGATTGAATCTATTCTGCGTGCAGCTAGTATGTTGAGCTGTTGCCATGCTGGAAGATAAACCGAAGTATCCATCTCAGGACTTTTGTAGCCTCTAACAGGTTTTCTTTCCGTATTGCTCTGTAATTGTGTCCATTTCCCTGTTTAATATAACCATCTTCCCTATGCCTGCTGAAGAATTACAAACCTTAAAAGTGATGACCTCCATTCCGAGTACTGATGTGTAGAAGTTGATTGTGTCTGGCACGCTTTTTACTGTCAGCACCAAATGATCCAAATGGCTCACTTCAACAGGACAGGTCGCCTTAAATCTAACAGCGAGGTGACTTCCAGTGATGTTGACCTAAGACAGGTGAAACAAAAGCAAATCAGAAAAAAAAAAAAACTCACATTGACAGGCTGGATGTTGAACAAAAGCTTCTTGCATCTTTAATTTATCTCTGTTGCTTAATGCCTCCCACCTCATGCATGAAGCTGTTGCAGAGCTGCAGAGCTCCTCAGTGATAGACTGCTGTACAAGGGAGCGTTATCAATGAAACTTCCTCCCAGCAGCTGTAGGACTTTATAACCACCCCTATAAGTTTTTACATTCATGCTGATTTTTGTAGTTTCTATCTTAGTCAGTTAAATAGCATAGTGCTGTCATTTTGCACATCTCTGATGTTGCTGCTATTTTCAAATATCAAATATCCATTACTGTAAAAAATGTCCATAGTTTCTGTCTCCTTGAACCCCAGTCTGCCTCAGGAGATGGCCGCTCACTCTGAGCCTGGTTCTGCTGGAGGTTTCTTCCTGTTAACAGGGAGTTTTTCCTCTCCACTGTCGCTACAAGCAAGCTTAGTGTGAGGGATTGCTGAAGAGTCAATGAATCCATGCAAGCAACTGGTTTTCCTTAGATAGAAAACTTTGAATCAATTTGACTGTATGATCTGGTGAACTGTAGTGTTTTGAGATGACATGTTGTGAAATGGTGCTATAGAAATACACTGAATTTAATATATTGGTTAGTTAGTCTCCAGGTGCACAATTTTTATATCGTTAAAACACTTTACAGTACAGTATTTTATTTGCTTATTTTTTAACTATTATGTTAATCTTATACATTTTTCAAAGGTCCACATTTGTGTAACCATTTCTTCTATAATATTTTTGCTGCTGTAAACACCTGAATGTCCCCATTGCGGGACAATATAGGGATTTTCTACTCTATTCTAAAATCGACTGAACAGCACCACCCAGCGGTCAAAGCATGCAACAGTTAGTCGAATTCAGACGGAAATCATTTTAATACGAACAACTAGAGACTGGTAGACATTTTATTGGTCCAAAGCTGTTAACAAGGGCCTTTATATTAATGTTAGAGCTAAACGTTTCCAAAAGGACACAAAGAAAAGGGTCCAGCTTTACGCGGAAGTATATAAATCTAAATTTGGCTCGATTTTTTAAGCTCGTAGTGACTAACAGTGGACGCTTGTAAACAAAGGGATGATTAGAGAGTTTACCTTAAAATATGTCCGTTGGAAAAAGAAAAAGCGACTAGTAGCTGCCCGGAGCGCCATCCTTACTGGAGTGTTCAGGTCTGAGTGGAGGTTTTCCGAGAAACGACCGAAACACTTCCTTATCCGACCTCCATCCGGACTATGATCCCACCAAACTGGTCTCGGCAGACCGCATTAAAATAACAACAAATCATTTCTATTAAGCATTAAACCACTTCATTTGGGTCCGGTTTATATCCGTCATTACTGGCCTATCTCATTTTAGGGGTCTATATTAATTCTACCAGTTAAAAATAACGGAAATGTGGAAGTTCAGTTTTACAAAGAATGATAGTTATGAAAAAAAAAAAAGTCTTCTAAACAGAAGTCACCTCTTAGGTTAAAGTTGTAGGGGAAGTCATATTTAAATTTCAAATAATTCTGGCTTAAACATGTATAGAAATGTACTCTTTATCAGACCATATTGTCCCAAAAGTTAGAAAAAATCTATTTTAAAAAAATCCTGTAGTAAAATCTGTTTTCGCCCTTATCTTATGCAGGCCAGTTAGTTATACGTCAGCTTGTACACATAAATTCGGCCAATCAGATATCAACGCTCATCTGTCGATAAATTTTTTTCAGTCATAGCATCTTGATTTATATGTCGCAGCTAATATACGCAACAGTTGAAATAAGAATCATTTCCTTTCCCATTGAGTTCGGTCCCAGTGTTCACAGGGATGGACGTCTGTGTCTTCGGCAGGCGCAGAGCTACCAGAACTGGCAGCGTCGCAAGGGCTCAAACATGTACGGCTGTAAGCCTTCTACACCAAACCAAGCTTCTGCCGCCATGGCGTCCTCTTCCACAACATCTTCGTCCCCGCTTTCCTCCTCTAAATAAAAAATGTATGACGGAGAAGACTCATCCACGACCTCCGACACAAAACTCTCCTCCTCTTACATGTTTCCGCTGTCCATAGCGTTCCTTGACAGTGTCGTTTCCAAGTTCTACTTGGTCCTAATTTAATTTCCCATTGGGAACCTACTAGCACTAAGTTGCTAACTGGTTAGCCAGATGCTTCTGAGACACCAGCCACAACCAAACTTGCTTGCGAACCTTCCACCACAACAATCCTGCCCCTTTGATAAACGACCAATCACATTCACTTTTTTTACTCGTGTAAAGTCGTGCACCACTTGGGAGAATTTGTAAATGCACAGGTTGGAACAGCCGCTTCCCTACGACTTAAAGTTCCTGTATTGTGTATTTTCCATATCAAACTTCCATACTTGAAAACATTTATTTCAAAATGTTCTTTTTAAAGATAGTGGTATGAATAAAATGTAGCTGATGGGATTTTAGTAATATTATTATAAATCTTGCAAACCCACAACGCTGAAATTGACTTAATCCAACATATCTTCCATTAAATTGACTAGACCAAGACTGTAAACATGTACCTTTAAGACCCAGATTATTATAAATCCAGATTAAAGGTTTAATCTTGTTCCAAACTGTTTCTTCTGAGACGTCAAATTAAGGCTTAAAAAGGCCGAGCCAGAGTTTGGATTGTAATCTAATAAAATAATCTATATGAGGACCTACAGATTACAGAGATGATAAGGAGACTATCCAATATCAAGAACTTTATCACCTAAAGGGCAAAATACCTGAAAAGGTTTTTGATACATTTAATTTTCTCTATTGGAAACAAATTTCCTGTTTGCATGAAAATATCTTAAAAATAAATTTGGATTAGACACTAAATAGAAGTGATTTATACAATACATCCATATCATATTTCTGTCTTGCTTGTCACTTTTATCATTACCTTAAAACACTTTAAAACCACCCAGACCGGTTTATAATTCTGACCGGAGAAGGTCTGGATGTGAAAGACAATTTGTTCTTTTCCTCAGTGTCTTTAATTTTGGTGTCAATTTAAAGATTAATGATGTAATGAATGAAATCTAAATCAATGTAACATGTCTGCTTTATTCCTTAAACATGTAGGTGAACCGTTTACAGGTGCTGGTCATAAAATTAGAATATCATGAAAAAGTAGATTGATTTCAGTAATTCCATTTAAAAAGTGAAACTTGTATATTATATTCATACATTACATACAAACTCATATATTTCAGATGTTTATTTTGTTTAATTTTGATGATTACAAATGACAACAAATGAAAATCTCAAATTCATCATATCAGAAAATTTGAATATTACTGAAGACCAATAAAAACAAAGGATTTATAGAAATGTTGGCCAACTGAAAAGTATGAACATGAAAAGTATGAGCATGTACAGCACTCAGTATTTAGTTGGGCCTCCTTTGGCCTGTATTACTGCAGCAAGGCGGCGTGGCATGGAGTCGATCAGTCTGTGGCACTGCTCAGGTGTTATGATAGCCCAGGTTGCTCTAATAGTGGCTTTTAGCTCTTCTGAATTGTTGGGTCTGGTGTATTGCATCTTCTTCTTCACAATACCCCATAGATTTTCTATGGGGTTAAGGTCAGGAGAGTTTGCTGGCCAATTAAGAACAGGGATACCATGGTCCTTCAACCAGGTACTGGTAGCTTTGGCACTGTGTGCAGGTGCCAAGTCCTGTTGGAAAATGAAATCTGCATCTCCAAAAAGTTGGTCAGCTGCAGGAAGCATGAAGTGCTCTAAAACTTCCTGGTATGTGGCTGCGTTGACCCTGGACCTCAGAAAACACAATGGACCAACACCAGCAGATGACATGGCACCCCAAACCATCACTGACTGTGGAAACTTTACACTGGACTTCAAGCAACGTGGATGAAGTGCCTCTCTTCTTTTCCTCCAGACTCTGGGACTTTGATTTCCAAAGGAAATGCAAAATTTACTTTCATCAGAGAACATGACTTTGGACCACTCACCAGCAGTCCAGTCCTGTTTCTCTTTAGCCCAGGCAAGACGCTTCTGACGCTGTCTGTGGTTCAAGAGTGGCTTGACACAAGGAATGCGACAGCAGAAACCCATGTCTTTCATACGTCTGTGTGTGGTGGTTCTTGAAGCACTCACTCCAGCTGCAGTCCACTCTTTGTGAATCTCCCCCACATTTTGAATGGGTTTTGTTTCACAATCCTCTCCAGGGTGCGGTTATCTCTCTTGCTTGTACACTTTTTTCGACCACATCTTTTCCTTCCCTTCGCCTCTCTATTAATGTGCTTGGACACTGAGCTCTGTGAACAGCCAGCCTCTTTAGCGATGACCTTTTGTGTCTTGCCCTCCTTGTGCAAGGTGTCGATGGTCGTCTTTTGGACAACTGTCAAGTCAGCAGTCTTCCCCATGATTGTGTAGCCTATAGAACTAGACTGAAAGACCATTTAAAGGCTTTTGCAGGTGGTTTGAGTTAATTAGCTGATTAGAGTGTGGCACTAGGGGCCATCAATTTTGAACCTTTTCACAATATTCTAATTTTCTGATATGATGAATTTGAGATTTTCATTTGTTGTCATTTGTAATCATCAAAATTAAACAAAATAAACATCTGAAATATATGAGTTTGTATGTAATGTATGAATATAATATACAAGTTTCACTTTTTAAATGGAATTACTGAAATCAATCTACTTTTTCATGATATTCTAATTTTATGACCAGCACCTGTAAGGTTTGGCTTTGAAGACATTTCTTCAAAGCCAAAACCTTTCTCTATACACACCCAGATCCAAACTGAAAGAAGTCTGAGCATGAACTCAAAATTAAGTTTACTCAAGTTTCTAAACTACACTACATAAATAAAAATAAAAAAACTAATTATAATATCCTTGACAGAAACCTTGCATCTTATCTGTTTGACAGTTGTGGAAAGTAAATTTACTTGATTACTGTACTACTTTTATTGAGTATCTTTACTGGATTAATTTTTGGGGTGGCACTTATTACTTTCACTCCACTACATTTAATTTCAAAGATTGTACTTTTTACTTCACTACATTTCGAGGAAGCAGCTAGTTGCTTATTTTGGTCTTACGTGTTGAAATCCTATTTCAGAATGCAAGACAGCAGCCCTTAGGACTAAATTTGGACAAAAACTATTTTTGAGATTTAACGACATTCCACAAATGTGACAAAATTCAGTGCAGATATTAGTACTTTATACATTTTATTAAGGTGTTATTTAGGGTGGCCAAATGTCCGTATTTCCCGGGACATATCCGTGTGACGTAATCCCTGAGCCGCGTCAGTGCGGGCAGCCCTGTTCTTAATCAGAATATAGATTGCGTGGCTGTCAGTACGCCAACATGCAAAAGCGCAAATGTATGTTTACCAACGATTTACAAAAGAGTTTCACCGCTTTCAGACAGGGTCGAGACAAATGGGAGGCCTTGTGCACAGTGTGCAAAGCAGGCACATTATATCTCTGTGTCCAATGGAGGTGCAAGGGATCTGAAAAGCCACCTGGACTCCGAAAGTAAAGATAGTCTATTGATATGTTTGTTCGTTTTTGGTACATTTTGAATAATTTTTGCTACACAAGAGGTATTTTTTGTTAATTAGCTCATTTGTTAATTTATTTATTGCAATAGCCTACAGAATAGACATTTCGTTCATTGCTGAGGCTGAGTATCATGTGTTATTGGGAGTTGAGAGTTGTTAACTTTTATTGTTAAGTGAGGGATGTTTAGATGAGACATTATTTCTTTCATTGTGCCATTCATTCATTACAGGAATTGTTAAGCATTTTTAATAAATACATTTTGAATGAAATTATCGTTTATTGTAGTTATTGCTGTTGACTTTTATTGAAAAGCATTTTCAATAAAAGTCCCCAAGGTGTCCTGGTTTTCCCAAATGAAAATATGGTCACCCTATTTGTTGCCTTGTGGTCCGGTAATTCAGTAGGATGAGTTCTCAAACCGGAGTTTCTTTGTGGTGATAGATTCCATGTTGAACCTCTATTCCATAATTAAATTGTGGAGGATTAAGACAATCCTGTTTTCTTTTTGGTTTGTTTTTAAGAAATAATCACAATAGCTACCATTTTCTTGTGACATTTTTATGCTGAAGTTCTGAAAGGTGGTGTAGAATCTGTAGCAGGTGGTTCTACATATCAATACATGATATGGCTTCTAATAGCTATAAGGTTCTTTAAAATGACACTGAATAGTAAACAAATGTACTGATATAAGTTAATTTTTTTTTGAATACTTAACTATTTTCAAATGTGAGTATTTTACTTGGAGTTGAGTAAGATTTCACTAGGAGTATCAATACT